ATGTCCCGATTTTCCCGGACATGTCCGGCTTTTGGGGATTTCCCCCCAAGCTCCCACCCTTAACCCGCTTCTTCTCCTTCCCCCTCCACCCCCTTTACTCTGCACGCCACGTCCTAGCTCTTCTCCCCGCCCTCCTGCCCGTGGCAATCAGCTGTCTTGTGACAGTCAGAGGGCATGGGGGGGAGCGAGGACTCGGTGCGCAGGCTCCCCCCTCCCTCTCCTGCCCACGGCAATCAGCTGGTTTGTGGCGTTCTGGAGGGAGGGGGAGCCTGCACGCCGAGTCCTTGCTTCTCCCCGCTCCCTCCTGAACGCCGCAAGCCAGCTGATTGCCATGGGCAGGAGGTGGGGGAGGGGGGAAGGCGCTGATCCGCGGGGTCTGCCGGCGGGCGGGAGGTGCTGTGGAGGGATGGGGGGCTGCCAGCTGTGGACAAAGCAGGCAGCCAAACGACGTTACAGTGAAGCATTGCACAACTTTAAATGGAGCATGTTCTGTAATTCAGCAGGGACGTAAGATCGAAACAACGTTAAGCGAGAGAATGTTAAGTGGGGAGTTACTGTACTGATGTACAATAAAGGGAAAAGGAGAGATCATGGCAATTACCATCCTGCAGGTGTAACAACTGTTCAGTTTGTCACCTCATTACTAGAAAGCTACCAACAAATTGAAAAAAAGTTCGAAGAAGAGCATAAACCTGATTACAGTTCCGAATGAAGCAAGATTACAGTATCTTCACCTGAAGACTTAAGAGGGCACATGTTTAGAGTGTACATACCAAGGAGAGAAAAGGGAATAATTTAGAATACTAAAAGGGGATATAACTAGGAATAAAGGTATGACAGTAAAAAAAAAAAGTCAGTGTAGACATCCTGGCTGTGGGGTAATCTCCTGAGGGAAGCAGAGGAAAACTTCTTTTGTTGGTGCATTTACAATTAGACTGGATAATACTAGTTAATATACAGTAGGAAGCAATCCTTCTCTGTGGGAAGATGGACTAAATGGTCTAATTGATGACTTCCATTTGTTGAATCTGTAGACAGATGGATTTAGGTTAGTGGAGAAAGGTACTATGTTCACTATGTGTTTCACATTCTCCCCTGACGTACATGCAAGGGAGGAAATAAATGTTATAAGAACTCTAGATAATTTTAACTGCAAACAAAAGGTCATAGTGATAAAGAAAAGGAGGCTCCCGCTATCTCTTGTCAGGTTCTTCCTTCAGGCAAATCCAAAATACACAAGGGACAACTGAAGTCTTGAAGGGAGAGTAAAAGATATGGTTAGAGCACAGGATTCAGAGCCAGGGACCTCTGAATACATAGGTCACCTTAGGCTATGTCTACATAGCCCTGCATTTAGAACTGGGGGCAGGTGTGTGTGGGTGAATGGCAGCACATTCTAGTGTGCTGTATGGTAACTTCTCCGTGTGGATGCTGTGGGTATGAACTAAAAGGTACATAGTTTGAATTAACGTAGTTCAGTTTAAAGAGGTCTATGTAGTCCAAACTGCGGTGCTATGTACATGACCATCAGACTCCAACTCCTTTGCAGCCTTGGGCAAATCAAAATCTCTGTTTTCCCAGTCTGCAAACTGGGAATTATGCCCACTCAGTTACCTGCTAGGACTGATGTGAGGAGTTAGTTAATGTTTGTAAAGTGCTTTGAAGATGAAATATGCTATGTATATGCTGTCAGATCTGCTATCTAAACTTCCCCTTTTCCCAGAATTTCCCCAACCTGTGAGCGTAAGTCTCATTAATGAATATACCAGAGTATAAGACATGCTAGACTTTTTTGTTTTATTGCCTTCTGATTTAAATACCTAGTTTAAAGCCGGCGGTGCTATCTCAGCAGTAAAACTAGACATGAAGGTGAGTGAAACTACTTTCCCACTGCCTTTAGCCAATCAAAGTTTCATTTTGTCTGAAACAATTCTTGCTATATTGAGGTCTGACAGACAGGAGGGTCTTTCTCTGGCAGGTCAACACTTGTCACTTTTATGTCTGTTTCTCTTTCTACGGAACAAAATGGTTCATTTTTAAGTGGTTGTCTGAGCTTGTTTGCAAACTGATAGATTCTAATCATTGCCTGGATGAATGCCTGTGGCTTTGCAAAAAGTTGCAGTGAATCACCATAAAAATGATGACTAAGCAATCCAGACAAATTAAATTTGATGTTTTTGATGAGAATGAACGTTTACTTCCATGACAAGTAAATTTCACTGCAAACTAGGGCTGGGTGCAAGAAAGATGATGGATGATTATCTTAATCTAACATGTGGCAGTTTTATATTTACGATAGTGCTGTGTTAACCCAGTGTTTCTATATAAATAGTAAGTGTTCAGTGAAGAAACGGCAAACTGATGAATAACTTAGTTGTTTGGTCATATTATAAGCCAGTGCTTTTCTGTTGTTGGAAATAGATGCAAATATAACTGCCAGAAACCAATACCTTGTTGCATATTGTTCATAATTTCAACATTATGTAGTTATTTGGTTGTACATGCAATTGAATTTAATAGGCTGATGCCAAATGGGCTACCCATGGAAAAAGAAATATTAAATACAGAGACATCTGCTCCTGTTTTCTAAGTAACATTGCAGAAACTGAGAACACATCACATTAATACAGATGCTTTTTATTATTTGCTAGTTACAATTAAATGCAGGTTTTTTTTTAATGTGGTTGGTGATGAAAGAGTGAGAGGAACCTCAGGGGGGGCGGGAATGTTTCAGATTATGTAGACCACAGCTGATAGTTACATAGTCCACCACAAACCCTGTTCTGGCTTGGTTTTCATTTTGTAGTAGTGTATTCAAGCCATATTTGCAAACCACATTCCACTAAAGCCTTCCCATGTTTGTAGCTAGCTGTTCAGTAATGTGCTCTGACTGGCTGAGGGGGTTTGCAGTTCAAGCAGACTGACTGGAGGCAAATATTTAGTTGTTAATCTCTCCCCTACTACATAATGATGCATGGAACAAAACCATTAATGGCAGTTATGTTATTAAAAGGCCATCCTTTGAAAAGAGAATGTGACCTAGAGAGAGATCTGTGTGTCTATCTTTTAAAGATATGAGATGGCTGCATATTTGTATATGAAGGAGTAAAAAATTATTCACAACTATTCCATCTTTCCCATTTCAAGTGAAATGTTCTTGGGAGTGTGTGGTTCTTGTATTCTTGTTCAGTGGATAGACCAGTGAACAAATTTATTGACAGGAATGTTACCTGAAACAGCAAGTTTCAGCAAACATTATAAGATATTTGTGTAAAAAAGACTTCCGAATATCCATAATCATGAGTATTTGCCTTGGAAACTTGATTAGAAGACTAAAGGCTCATCTTTTAAGAGCAAATAAACTTGTCATGAACTATGTCTAATCAAAATGCCTTAACTCTTGAATTTCAAATATGAAATACTCAACCCAGTACTAAAAGGTCTCAGTCATGACCCTGGGCCATACAGAGGAATTAGGAAACTCATTACTGCCCTGTGCAGGCTATCCTCATTGCTAGACACTGCACATGAGGAAGAACAGGTGTGGGTTGGCTGCTGCTCCTCATGCCATGTAGGTGAGTGGGGAATAGGCTGTGCAGCTGAGGGAAGTAAGCTGCTCCAGTGAAAGCTGCATCATCTTATTTCTCTCTCTGAACAACACAGAAGTAGATTAATAACCCAGGTCCTGACCTGCTTCTGAAATTGTAAGGTTATAATCCAGCCCATAGCAGATTGCATTAATAGAAAAAGAGGATGCAGTGCACCTTTTCAAGAATGCAGCTTTCTTGTCCTCTTTTTGGTTTTGCTGCTTCTATAAAAAGTTCAGTTTGAAATGTCATGTAAGCCTCAATCCACCACTTGCAATCGCTATTGTTCAGTCACAAGCAGGGGAGAAACAAGCAGAGACATCTTAGTCTCTGTCACAGAGAACAAAAATGTAACTCTGATCTTTTATGTTGTCTTTCAGTCATTGTGTGGTAAGTGACTTGAGGGTGATTTTTTTTTTATTTAACTAATTTCCCCTCCCATCTGACTTTGCTGTTGATGTGGAGGAAAAAAATAGTTTTCCATCTCCACGCTTCTGAACTTTGCACTGAGCAGCATTTTCCACCATGGAGGCCAAAGGGAAATCCACCCCTGTCCAGAAAGTCCAAAAACAACTTTTAGTCTGAAGGGTTGATGGTTCTAAGAGGGATGCTACCTCCTGTGCTAGCAGAGTGAAGCAAATGTCGAATAAATATAAATTAATCAGCTCCCAGTCAGCTTGGGTTTAATTTCCATGAGGATGGAATGAATGGCTTTTAAAAGGAAAGTAGAGTTTTCCTTTATATTGCAGTGTAATTTCTAGTTACCCTAATTCTGTCCATCTGTGTCCTCAGGTTCCCCAGAGGATAGAAGAACAAAGTTCTGAAGACAGCAGCGCAGGAATCCCAGGCATATGGGGCAGTTGGGGCCCCTGGTCTGCTTGCTCTCGAAGTTGCAGTGGTGGGGTGATGGAGCAAACCCGGCCCTGCCTCCCAAGCTATTACCACGACAGGGCTTATTCTAGACCAGGGCAACAGTACCCAGCCTTGGAAAGAACTCTTGCACCCCAGCATTCCCACCGTCGTGAAGATCCATTGACCCCTTATTCCGGCCATGTCATCTCTGCCATCCGTACGTCCGTGCCACTTCACAGAAATGAGGAGCAGCTTCAGAGAGGTCTTTGGGCTTCAGTTTCCTCCACGGGCCGCAATGACAGCCATCTGAACAGAGGAACATTGAGAGGCAGCCGGCATTCTCAAAGGCACAGAACCAAGCCAGAGAGGAGGTACTGTTCCTGCACGTGTAATTGATTCCATAGCTTGGTGTGAATGGTGTGTTTGAAGAATGTCTCTCTTCATGCCAGATTTACATTAATCGATGGGAAAATCTCAGGGAAGAATAGCATGGGTCTGTAATATCCACAAACTGTTTTGGAGGGCTGTCTCAAGAGAGAGCTTGTGATACTCTGTGTATTATACTTCAATATCTGCTGTTTATGTTCTAAAACCAAAAACGAGTGTGATAATTGTGCCCGCAGGCAAAATAAAACTGCAAGCTATTTTAATATCTTAGCTTAAAATATAATTTTGTGATCTAGTAATTTCCCCCATGATCCATTACCCTTTGCCAACCTCATAGTAAACCTAGTAAAGGATAACTGTGCTATGCCCCTCAGGTACCAATCTCATCAGCCTATTCTAATTAGAACTAGTTTGAAATTTTGTCTTCAAACCTACTTGTGATGAAAAATGGCTTTTGAACCAAAGTTTGCGTTCTGGTCAAAATTTCCTGTCTTTCAATAAAAAGGACTTTTCAAGGACTTTTTGGTTTTCTGGTTTGTTGTTTTTGTTTTGTCGTCCCTTCCCTTTTTCATACCCCTTTTGCTTTTTCTATAGAAAAACTGTTTTTTTTTGTTTTTTGTTTTTGTTTTTTGTTTTTTGAGTAAATGAACCTTTTTCCTTTAAAAAAAATTTTTTGTTTTTAAATGCTTACCTTGACTAGCCCTGATTTTAATATACACTGACTTCAGTGGATATTAATCATTTAACAATTCAATCTCGAACAGCTCCGCGCTTCTGATTTAATATTAACTCTATGTTCCTGTCGCTCCCCAAAGACAGAACTTCATTTGTTCATGCCAGAATCTCAAAGCTTAAAATGTAGTTGAGAATGCACTTACCATCAAGCAACCTGTGGCCATGCCCACCTTTGAGGCCTAATTTCTTGGGTAGACCTGCGATCCTGTGCTACCTTGTCAAAGTTTGCCTTTCTATGCTCTGTTTCTTTGCTCCTTCAATTTCAACTGGCTGGCTGGTTGAGAACCCTTGCGCTTACCCTGAGATAATCCCAGCAATACACCCGTGGCTCTCCATTTCTGGGGAAAAGGGGCTGATTTGACAGCTTGCAGGAAACTCTCTCCAGCCAAACAGCAGCAGCATACTTGTTCCCCCTATGTTTGTCTCAGTGAGGCCTGCACGTCAAAGTTTACTTGGAACCAGACTAGGTTCTGATGCTGATATTTCTAGTTCTGGGCAATTTCACTTTATTCTTGTTTCTCCAAAAATACAGAAATTAAAGAAATAAAATATATGAATGTCCCTGAATCAGCAGTGCAAAGCCATTCGAAAACTGTCTGTCTGATCCAGCCTTCCCTGCCTAGGTGGAATCCTCTGGTGGGCTACAGCTTCTGTACCATTTCCGCTATCAACCTGCTGGACTTGTCTGGTGTTTCCCTCTCCACTCTGGCTATCCCTAGCTGTGGTAGCAGCTCCTGGGGGCGATTGGTGGCTGGCGCAGCTTATAGCAGCCTTTGCAGTTGGAAAAGGAGATGAACAGAACATTTAGGCAGGGTCGGCTCCAGGCACCAGCTGAGCAAGCTGGTGCTTGGGACAGCAGATTGTTGGAGGTGGCATTCTGCCCAATCCTAGGGTGGCACGGCTGCTTTTTTTTGTTTTGTTCTTGTTCCACTCCAGCCGCCCTGTAGGGGGCGGCAGCGCGGAGAACCAGAGAGCCCTGAAAGGCAGTCCTCTTCCTTCCCTCCCCACCGACCGGAGCGGAGCCCAGGCGGCAGGAGGCGGCGCAGCGGGAGGGGCTGTGTGGCAGCA